GCCCTTTGGAGAATTTCAAATTGTACGAGAAAGTGGAGTCCACCGAGAACTTAGTAGGGGCACGATCGGCCACCCTCCATGCACGTACGATATGCCAATTGTCTGATGTGCAGGGGAACATGATTCGCTTTGGTCGATCATGACATTGAAAATCCTTAATGAAGTTTTTGTTTTTGTTTTGGTACGGCTTTCCTTAAAGTGTAACTAATGGTACCAAAGATATGATGTATTAAAAATATGTATTAAAAAAAACCCTTTGAGATTGCATTTACCACACTCTCTTTCACTATGCATAGGCAATTCACATTTTACTACGACAATATAATTTTAGATCTGAGCAAATTATTCAATACGTTTTATGTATTTCGTACGCGATTTGTTTATACTAAAAAAATAGACCACTTACCACTATAAATACGTTTTGCTATTTACAGTGCTTCATTGAACAAAAGATTCCTAAATATTTTATAGTGTTTCATTAAACTAAATGTTACTAATATTTTTTAAATGCTACTTGGACTAACGCAACTGATCCATTAAACTTGTTAACTACTCGTGTAATGTTTTTTTCTTTTTTTTCTCTTTTTCAAAATCACACCAGAAACGTGGATGATATTTGGGAGAAATAGTTTCAACCACATCTGAGATAATACAACTAATGTTGTACTCTCATATAACACTACAATAAATTAAATATTTTTCTAAAACAAGTTTCATAAATTTTACAATAACATAGTACAGTACATGCTGTACCACAGTACCACAGTTATTCACATACCAATAAACTTAAAAAAATTACTGTTCCATAGTGCAATACGTGAATAATTAATATTTAATGGCGGACGCCATTTTCCTTACTTTCGCATGACGTTAGACGAGTCGTAAGCAGTGACGTACTGCTTATTAGAATTGTGCGCGGTTTGAGAAACGGGCGGAATAACAATCAAATATGAGTATTTGCATTTTTAAATCAAAATCGAAATCTTTTCAATTGTTTTTATAGAAAGTAGTTTTCTTGGAATTTCTGCGCGCATTGGAAATTAGTAATTTAGATGCAAAAAACCCTTTTTATGAAATAAATTTGAAAATAAAATTTCAATTGAAACATTCGAAATTATTTCTTTGAAGCTATAATTAAACCTCTCAGAAGCTTAAACCGGTGCTATGCAAAGTAATAGTTAAGTTTTTTTTGTGCATGTGTCTCGGAATAAATGATTCAAACTTCTAGGATTTGTACGAGCTTGAAGATGAAAGTTTTCCCAGTGAGCATTTGCCGCGAAATTTTACAGAATGAAGTTACACATGTGATATTTCTCCAAATCAGTAGGTAATCAATCATGTATTGATGTTTGGCAGTTCACATTCTGACTTAATCCAAAAGATTTGTGTTTCGGAACGATACTGCATTATGAATATGAGATTCTTGAAATATCACCCATCGTTTTCAGTCTATTCTTACGAGATGAGTTCTCGAGAAAATGATTTTTTTCGCCTACAGTGTTTCAGTACTTTCCTGCATCATGAAATATGTTGAAAGTTGGCATTTTTCTTCTTGAAATAATATGTAATGAATTTTTATGTACCAAATAAATAATTATACATTGTAATCGATGTATGTTCATCAGTATTACACGAGTGTATGTTGATGAAAGAAAATGTTCTGACCAAACCTACAGGTTTGACAACCTGAGGATGCAGGATTTTTCTATTATTCAGATGATACTTAATAACATAAAAGTCACTAGACAATTTTATTCTTCCAAGTTAACTGATGTTAATAAAAGGTTTTGCATTCAATTTTACATGAAGACTATAATGCTTACCTTCATGGTCTAATCATGACTTACATAAAGTCTTAGCTTTGATTAGCGTTGACAATAACATTCTTCCAATATCCTTCCGCAAAGAAAATTACGAGTCAGACTGTTTTGAGGCAACTAACTGAGATTTCGACTATGGCAAAATAATGCTCCAGATACGTCAGTACCTATCTCACCAAACACCGCGATCACACATTTCCACTCAACCATGTTCGCACGCAAGCTCTGCAACTGATGTGTTCTTAGAAGATGTATCAAGTTGTATGAAAATATAAAGCGTTGGTCTGATATGTCAGAGCCTCCGGAGTCCTTTGTCTCGATCTCTCTTGGGGAAAGTACTCGAAAAATTTTTCATTGCAGGTAGCAACAAATGGAAGTTTGCGGATATTTGAAGTGTGTGAAACGTCTAAAATCTCGAACAATGAATAGCAATTTTCTTCAGGTCCGGAAGAATCTAATATTCATTTTCTGGATTCCCAATCAACTGATTTTGTCAAAACAACTTAAAAATAACCGCGCATTGAGAGGGCCCTGCCCTGAATGAGAGTCATCCTCCCAAACTGCGCCTCTCCTGCGGTTGGTTCTCTTAGCATGCCGGTGCGTCCCGTTCCCCGCCGCACGTTCTACCGCCGGGTCACCGGTGGCGACCCAGGCCTCAGCCGTAGTAAACAACGCGCAACGGCGGTGGCGGTGGCAGCAATGCGACTGCAGACGGGGTTACGGAGTTAAATTGCTCTTCACTTGTTTGTCTCGGCTGCCGCCTCGCCGCACTGTCCGCTCTGACGTCACCGCGTTCCCAGAAGAGTCAATGGCTGCTGCTGCTGCTGCTGCCGCCGCCGCCGCCACCAAAGCAACTGTTGCCGTCGCCGCTGCTACCGGAGTATAGAAGAAGAGCAGAGAAGCACGCAGCGCCACGGTCACGCGGCGGAGGTGGCGCCCTTCGGCCCCGTGGGAATGGGCTGTGCTACCCCCTCAACTCGGTGCTCTCGTTACGTCTGGACGCCAAGGCAAATCACCGAAACAAATACTTCCAAGTCAATACGTCTTCAAAACAGGGAATACCGGATGCCAGTTACAGTACTCGAACGACACGACTACACAAATTAATTGTGTATTATTAGGAAGAAGAGAAGTCATAGATAGAAATTGGTCCAGAAATCTTAAAAATCGGCCCACATACTCTTGCAAAACATCGTGAAAGACGCTCAAGTGAAAATAAAATGAGGCAGTGACTGCACAACTTTTGTCTGCTAAGATTACCGTTTTGAAACTCGGAATTGAAACTGATTTTAAAACATAGAGTAAGACATACGCTTCAATGTATCATTTATTTGTGGCCTTTAGCAAACCTTCATCTAACATTAGTGCAAATAAGAGTAGGATTTTGAATTCATTGGAGAATTCGTTCTATAGTACATTACGTAATTCGATAAATGGAAAAAAATCAGAGCCAGAAAAAGAGAGAGGAAGGAGAAAAAAGTCTTAACCAGAATAATTCTTAAGAAGAAAAGAGAGGGTCATTTCGTCCCTTGTACATTTAATGCACTCACACCTACACGCAATTAAAATCAATATCCAAGTTACTTTTATAAATAAAGCAGAGAAAACTCAGAATAATTTCGATTTAAACAATTGACAACGGAAATAAACAAACAGTCCTTTAAATACGCAATTCTGTGCATTGAAGAAATCGGTAGATCACAGACGCCATCATTTGATGGCGTGAGCTAAACTATTGACATTGATGCACATGAGTCAGTGACGAGAAGCTAGGCGAAAAAGTCCACAAAATACATTATTTGGTAAATATATTACGGTTTATGGTTATAAATCATACCCTACAGTACTCGAGGTCTTTAAAGGAAGCTATCACAAAAGTTTCATCGGTATCGGTTGAGTAGATTCAGAGATTATCGCGCTGTAAGTCAACGCACTTCCATTTTTATATATTAGTATAGATTTAATTAAATTCTCTTTATTTAAACAATATGAATTTTAATAAAAATGTACGAAAAATCGTATGCTTGTGTTAAACAATTTAGTTTTTACTTTCTCGCTGTCGCTTGCACAGTAGAAAGTTATGTAATGCGCGAGAAAACGCGGCGAATTTTCGGCAGAAATACTCTTATTACAGGTCCTTGATCACTTGCCTTGGTCCTTGATTGCTAAAATTTAGAAAAAAATCCTCTAACACATGATGTAGCCAGAATCCATATTATGAATCCTTGATACTGAAAAATCGATTCACACCAAAACGTCTGTATGTTCGTCCGTGAACAATTGGCTGATGTCGCGGCCTCTTGAATTTCAAATCGATATTTTAATTTTGGGGTACTTTACATGAATCCCCTGGAACATTTTCAAAAAATGGCTTCATCGATTTTGATTTAATTTTATTGTTGGATGGGTCTCATTTTCGTCGAAAATGATTTTTGAAAAAAGCAAAAATTCTTAATATTTTCGGGGTCTTCCTACAACTTCAATTACACATATAAAGATTTTTCCCTTGGCGAAATGTGTTCCTTAAGATAGATTTTGAGAGAAGGTCATGTACAATTTTTCGAAAATTAGAGTACTTTTCGCTTAATTTTCCGTGAAATTATACGCTGTTTTAGCTCCACTAATTAAAATATTTATTGCCCTCAACATGTATTTGATGCATAACTTATGAGTATAATATATGTATATAAATATAATATTTTATTATATTGGAGCTGCTTGGATTTTCTTCTATATTTTGAAATTCTAGTACCATGTATCATGTATGTTTAATAAATGGGAAATACTCTTTCTTTTTGAGAGTTAATTCTAATATTATGACTCATGATGTTGGGCATGAAACTGTTTAATTTCTAAGTGATATAGTTCAGAAGCAAAATATAATTGAAAGATGATTTATGAATACGGGATATTCACAGTAACGCTGAACATTATCCCGCGTGTTTTATAATATTTGATCCAATATTGGGGGGCAGTTGCGTTCTCTTGCCCCCCTGAATCCCGCCACAGGTCAGAATCCATGTTTTGTGGATTCTTCATACAGGAACAACTGGGTACATATTGAATGCTCTCCAAATGCATGAAAAGTAAATTGTTCAGTATTATGACTTCATTTTAAATCTTAAATAAAATTGGGAATTTGGTTCTAGAAATTAACTAGATGTACAATAAACATAAACATATCAGTTATCATTGGTTTATTAACATAATAATTTCCTAGAAAAAATAATTACAGAGTTCTAAAAAGAAAAAAAATACCAAAGAATTCTAACCATAAATGTAAATTGAAAGGGTCACTTGTCACTCTTGTTGTATAAAAATATTACCGTAATACATAATATCCAAAATTTCAGTTATCATTTAAAAAATAAATGTGCTATAGAGGTAAAATTGATTTAAAAAATTAAACATCCGTTCACATCACTTAATATCAAAATTATCTGGCAAGAGTCGCGTCAACAAAAACTTTGAGAGTGCTTTTTATCCTGCATTTCATAAACATATTTCAAAATTCCTACCATGAACATACATACCAAATGGATTTTATCTCAAAACTGCAACATCATACTTCAGTTTTGGAAGATATGGTTAGAAAATTTATAATATAATTTTAATTTTTTATTTAATTTCTTTCTTCTGAGATGAGACCATGGAAATGATGCAGTTTTACACTGTATGACACACAACTAATACTCTACTCTGCCTGACTTTTTCTTTAAGATTCTGTAACACTCAGTATGTAAATAATAAATACTACTTTGCAATAAATTTGTCAACTAATAAGTTACAACAATCATACAAATTTATCGCGAACAGCACCAGGAATTTTACGAATATACCATTCATGATCTTGTCCTGCACCTGTTGCGAGAACACCAGAACTGTTCATATATGGAGTATCCTTACAGTAGCTGTATTCATGACCGTTAACATCTGTCAGCTTTCCACCTGCTGCTGCAAGAACTGCCTCGGGAGCGCATGTATCCCAGCGCTTGCATCCAGTGCTGGGGAATACGTATGCATGAGCCTTTCCCTCCAACAGAAGAATAACCTAAAGAAACAATTGCAATTTTAGAGAGCTGTTCAAAATCTCGGGAAAAATAGGTAGTTTATTTATTTTACGTCAAAAACAGTTTAAAAATTGTTTGACGTACTATGGGAAAAAGAGTATTATGTGCAGGTTTTATTAAATTCTAGAAATCTTTACCCTTACCCCATATTCAAGTTGAATTCTGAATACAGATGAAAAAAATCATTTTGGCGAGAATTGACAAAAAAATTCGCTCAGTGTAATAAAAACTATTTGCAGAGGCAAATCAGCCAAAGATTTTCGCTAGTATTACTCGCGCAACGTTTCTTGAAACGGTGACCTTGCTTCCCTCTCTCTGGCAATATAAACAGATGAAAGCAACAGCTCGCAGCGAGCACTGATGACAACATTCCTAACACATCTACACTGCCCCTTCATAGAAACAAATTTCTTTTGAAGCCCAGAACTTCTATGCGTTGTTTTCTCGAAAAATCTAAAGAAATGACCGAAGCAGGTAAAGATCTATCACAGGAGATACCTCGAACTCCTGAGAAAGTTAAAACGCAAATTATTGAGAACGTTGCGAAGGCATGACTGATACTCCAAAGATTGTCATTGCTTCATAAAATCTAGTGGCCGATTTCGTAACTAATACCACCACTCTACCCGCATTTTTTCAATCTATCGTTCAAGAAACTGCGCGAGTAATATCCCTCATCGTTTCCTTCGTGAAGGAATCGACACCCTGCAATTGGAGCATGGAGAAAGATAATTTGAATAACTATATTACCCACAGAACTCAAGTCGTGCACAGATAGTGCAGTTACATTTATGTCCCGAAGCAAAAAAAAAGGGGCCATCTCAGCATTCACTAGAGAAAAACTGGGCGAAAAACCTGACCGAGATGGGTGTCATTGATCCAAAAGCTGAGGTACAAAACTTTTTACAAGTTGTTTAGAATTATACTTTTCAAATTGTAGTTAATACATTCAATATCATTATTATAATTGATATTTTTTTCTTTTTGATGTTTGGTATAGTCTCTTAATTGTATAGAACCAGTTATGCAGCGAAAAAAATACTTGGCACTTAAACTTGTGTAGCGAATTTATTCTTTTAATGTCATCTGGTAACGTATTGTAAAATAATATTCATGTATTGTATGTGATTTTTTTGTAGAAAGATGTGGAGAGTGACGCCTTATAAGATTACGACGTCGAGTGTTATAGTTATTGACATCAGTATTAGCTGAAAATATGTTCCCATCCTTGAGTAATTATTTATAACGACCACTGGTTCGTAAATCAAGAGGTAAGATAATGATAAAATTTCTAACTTAATAAAGAGAGGCTTACAAGAATCACGTGAGTGGGATTTGCCTATTATTCCTACAATTCATTTTGTAATCTAAAATTCTGGGACTGGAGGACGTATTCCCCCAGAATATTATGCGGAATCTTAGGCGGGAATGAACATTCGTGATACATGCATACGAGCCAATGACGAAATGAGTGCGGGCCTGCCCGCAAAACTTTTCTGTTTCCGTTTTGAGACTATCGTTGAAGGCCTCGGTTATGACTCTCACTAGTTCCGGGGGACCAAGCTTCGGATACTCGTTTAAGATACCGTCACCTCTGGGAGATCAGCATGTTTTTGCACTTAAGATTGCTGTTCTTACCTCACTGTAAATTATATCTGGTACCTCCTCATCGTTCGCCCTGATGTAGCTGATCTTCATCGTGGTTCTTGTTACTGCTGTAAAAATCTCGCTAATACACAGTGGCCGATTTATTTATTTCTTCTCGGTGTGAAGTATTTATCCTTATTATTCTTCACCCCCAATTTTTGTTTGGATATTGTTCCTTTCATATTTGTTTAACAGTTTTGTTTGTCTCTCTAATTGTTTGAATTAACCCAGTTTTGCGCTCTCACGTATTTTCTTATGGATTTTCTGACCCTCATGTTCAAAGTTGTGAATTCCGCTTGCTTTCCTTGTACATTTATGATGGGGTACTTTCTTCTATCTATATAGCGATGTTTTTACAGCCTTGGCCGTTTTCCGCATCCCAATTTCCACGCCTCTTTATCCCATATATCGTTTTCCTCCATGGTTTCAGTTATTGCCTGTTCCACGTTCTTCTCGGTCTTTCCCTGTATCTTCTTCGATGTGGTATCCACTCCCAAACTTTTTGTGGAAGTCTATCCGATTTCAACCTTCTCATATGTCCGTACCATTTTAGCTGTTTCATTTCGATCGTCTCGTTTAAGGTTGTTTGCACTTTCATTTTATTTCTTATTTCATCATTTATTTTGTCTAACAGCGAACGTTTACAAAATCTACGCCAGAACAAAATTTCTGTTGATTGAAGTTTGTCTTTCAAATTTTTTGTTAGTGTCCAGACTTCAGCCCTATAGAGTGTGGTTCTCTCTATAGAGCTATATATGCGTTTCTTTGTCTTCATTTAAATAATCGAGTTCCATAACACTGGATTCAACTATCTTGTGGCTATTTTTACTCTTATATTCTTCACATCCTGTTCGTCTCTACATGTGGTGTTGGTGTGACTCCCAAATACTTATATTGGGTATTACCTTTAATTATTCCTATACCAGTCTCCAAATCATGGGGCATAAATCCCACCACCATATATTCAGTCTTTTGTACATTTATTTCCATTCCCCATTTTCCATAGTCCTTTCTTCTAATTCTCTTTTGCGTTGACGCAACGCGTCTTCAAGCCCCGGGGTCGATGAGCGCTTTGCGCTTTCGGAGCAATCCTCCATTAATATGAGCACGGGAGTTATCCTCCATTAATATTTCAGTATGTCGTATCCGTCCGTAAGTAGTATCTCCGCGTACGCGTCCCTACGTCACTACTCAGCGGCCAGAATTGGGAAGGAATTAGGATTGGGGTAGGGTTTAGGACACTTCACAGGGGTTGGACTAGCCTCTGTGAAGCATGCACACTCGTTTTGTCGTAACAAATTTCACATGAGGTTCTACGAGGTGTCAACGGAAATCTAACCCAGGTCCTCGGTGGTGAAAGACAAGCGACTTCACCACTGAGTCACTAGAGCATTCTTTTCTTACTTTCTTTACTTTATTCCCGCTTAATTCTTTACTTCATTTATTCCTATGAGATGTCTTCGTAGAAACCCCCGACTTATTACCTGCATCTGTTAGGATTTGTCTAATTGGTCGTATATCTTTCACGAGATTTCAGGTGCTTGTTATTCCCGTACTGTACTAGTTTTTTTTTTTATATCCTGAAATATCGTTACGTCAACAGTACCTTGAACAATAATATTTGCTTCTGCCTTTCTTTATTTTGATTTCCGTAGTTGGCATTCTGAGGTCAGATTCGACGTTGAAATCTTTGAGCACTTCTAATTTCAATACGTTTTCTGTGTGGCCCGTAAGAATGTAACCGATTTCATTTCTGACTTTTCTACCTGGAGCTGTCCATGACCACTTCCTCTGTGATCGCTCCTTGAAAGAGGTATTCGCGATCTTTACGTTTTGGTTTTCTACGAAAAGTACCATTCTTCCACTTCTTTCCTTACGTTTGCCAATAACAAAATGTCCTACTACTTCATTTTGCCTCTTGCATACTTTACTTCATAATAGGCGTTGAATTCGCCTATTACAATGTTCAGTTTTGATATGTTCTCTTGTAGCGTGCCGTTTAAGAAGTAAAACTCATCTATTTCTGCTTCTGAATTGTAGAAATTTGGAATTTGTTCGCAGTCTTCCTACAATTACAAAACAGATGACAAAAATTCTTCCTTCAAATGAAATTTGTTCATAGTTCTTTCATTAATGTCGTGCACATTTCCTTGAACATTTTAGTCGTTTTCGGGCAATATTGCATGAAATAGTGCAAAATTACAAATAACAACAAAACAAAATTCTCAAAAACGGCTTCAATTTTTTTCTTTAAACTTTTGGAAAGGATAGTGCTAAATGTACTGTATAAGATGACTTAAACGCCATTTTGCTTCTTTTTTTTCTTCAAAAATTACAAAAATGTAACTTTTTGACTTCTCTCTAACGTCGTTATTACATTGGCTACGATTTTTTTTAATTACTGCATTTACAAGTGTAAGTTTTTTAAATAATATCTGATAATGTTTTCACGCAAACTCGAAACGTTTCTCTGAAAAAGAGCTCAAAATTTTTGTTCGAACTTATGGTACGGATAATGCTAATTGCACCGTTCTGTAAACTTTACCGCATTTGTAAGTGGAAGTGCTTTAATGACTTCCAACACAGTTTTTCGAAAACTCAAAAGATATTTGTGAAAAAAAAACATCAAATTTCGAATTTACATTAGAGCGTAAACGATATTTTCTTAAGAACGGCTCCAAATTTTTCAACATAAATTTTCATAGAAGTCGAGATTTTACTTCTTTAATGTTCTAAAAGTAATATTTCGAATCTACAATTAAGAAACCGAAAATTGAAAAAAAAATAATTAAAAAATGTATTTTGGGCAGCGATAGATGGCAACTCGCAAGAAGAAGGGACAAGACCGAAAAGCTGGCATACACCAAGGAAATTAGAAAATTTTACTACGAGAAAGTCTGTGCCATTCTGTAGCACTAGTTCTTATGTTTAGTAATGATATCTGTACCGGAATTCGATCAACAATCAGATATTTCGCGGAAGGCTGCATAATGTATCGACCTAATGGAGCTGCAACAGCACATACTTTCTCGCGTTACCGCAAACGGCTACGCAATATTGAAATGCATTTTCTGCTCTACTAACACCTCAGCCATTATTTCAAAACGTCCAATTTAACCAAGAAGTGAGCAAGTTGTCAGCGCAGCATTCGCTTGACTAATAATATCAATACAGTAATCAGAATATATGCAATTGACATAAAAATAATTACCAACATTAGTGAGATGCCTTTTGTCGTAAGATAACATTCGTACTATATGGAAAAGTAAATACTTGTTAAAAAAAAAAAAAGAAGTACATGACGGGCTAATTTTGTACAACAGACTGTCTGACAAAAATCTCTATCTCCAATTATGAAGTTTTATTTATTTATTTATTTATTTATTTGAAAAATTGGGAAAAGCAACGAAAATTAGAGCTGCACCATTCTCTTAAAACGTCCTTTGCACTATTCTATACAAAAGTTAATCAAAAAAATTGAAGCCTTTTTTTAATATTCCAGAGGCTTCATGTAAACAACCCCCGAACATTTGTTTCAAATTCCAGGGACTGCGACATCAGCTAGAAAGATTGGGGAATATCAATTTTGGAGAAAATCGGCAGAACGGTTTATGCGCTAGCGTTGTGCACACACGAACGGACGGACAATCGATTTTTCGGTACCAAGGACCCACAAAACATGGATTCCGGCTGCACCACGTGTTAGAGGATTTTTTTTTTATATTGAGTAACTGGATTTATCCGTTTTCCTTACCAGGACCCGGCAATATGAGTTTTTGTGTCGAGAATTCGCCGTTTTTCGGCCCAAAATTACAAGATTTTTATCTTCTTAAGTTAGTAAGTGCGAGAAAGTAAAAATTAGATATTAATCCAGAAAAAAATCAAAGCAATTAGTTTTACAAAGGCTCGAGCTCAGGAAACACTTGAATATACAATGGGTAGAAAGAAAAATAAAATCCCTGAGACAGGCAGTTGTAAATATCTGGGCGTAATAATTCGAAGCGACCTCGGCTGGGCTCCTCCCCTAAGATATACTAGAAGGCTTGGAAAGCTCTTCATTTTGTTAGGCGTTTACCATTGGCATGTTATTACGGAAAGCTAACACACAAATGCAGGTCTACATATCTTTGGTTCGTACCATAGTGGAATACGAAGTAGCTTGCTGAAATACTCTTAGGGAATGACAGATTAAAGCGTTAAACGGAGCTCAGAAAAATGCGGCTACATTCGCGACCAGAAACAAAGGGGAAAATGTGAACAGAGAATCATTAGTAACACATGAAGGAAAACGAAATTACTGCGAGCCCGCCCACAAAACATTTATCCGGGCCCCCTTTATAGAAGTCTACAGCTAACACGAGTAGTATTACTACCTTAAATAATAAAAATATCCCCCAAAACGCCACCGAGTTAGACGTACGGCAGCACGACTATGTACCCGCTTCAAGGAGTACACAAAACAACCGCCATGGAAATAGGGTTAGTAACATACGTCCTCTTTTCCCTGGACATGTCCTCTTTTTCTTCGCGGTTAACTCTGAATTTTCGAAAATTTCAATTTTTTTCGGGTGTCTTCCTACAACTACAAAATTAAAGAGAGAGATTTTTCCCTCAAAAAATATTTGTTCTCCATAACGAGTTCTTTCATTAAGATCATGTACATTTTTTAAAATTTAAGTAGTTTTCGTGGAGTATTGCAAGCAAAGTGTGCAATTTAAAAAAATTACAAAAACAAGATTTTTTTAAACATGACTTTAAATTTTTTTCTTTAAACTTTTAGTAAAGGTAGTGCTCAATGTACTCTATAAAATGACATAAATGCCAAATTGCTCTATTCTTTTGTTTTTCAAAAATTACATTTTGTAATGTAACATTACAAAATTAAACAAAATGTAACATTACAAAAATGTCATTTTTTTCTTGTCTTTTAAATCGTTAATATCTATATTGACCGCAATTTGCTCACATTATTTTATTGATGAGTACACATGCTTTAAATAATAATTGATGAAGTTGGTCGAAAACTCTAACGTTTTCTTAAAAACTAGCTCAACGTTCCACATTTTCAGAAACGCTTAAACGCCATTTTTTCAAAAACAGCTCCGAATTTTTTCTTCAAACTTTGCGAACTGATAATGCTAATTTAACTCTTTAATAGGACTCAAAGTTCATTTCAGGGTATTGTTTGTTTTTGCAGAAATTACACACGTAATTTTTTTTTAAAGATCTTTCATGCCGGCAATACACTCATTTCCAGCAATTTGTAAACATTATTGTATTTGTGAGTTAAAGTGTTTCAAATAAAGTTTTTCAATAACTCAAAAATTTTTTGTGAAAAGTGCTTCAAATTTTTAATTTACTGCAGCGCTTAAGGGCCATTTTCTTAAAAACGGCTCCAAATTTTTCGAAGAAAATTGCAATTTAGGACAAGGATTTACTGTTCTTTAATATTCATTATATAATATTTCTGTTGTATTATTAGGAAATCAAAAAATTAAGAAACTTTCAAAAAATGTATTTTGGGTGGCGACAAATGGCAAGAATATGTGGTAAGTTCGTATAGCTAACCGAGACCAAAGGAAATAGAAAACTAATATGGGAAGTCTGTGCCATTCGGCATGACCATAAGTTTTTCTTTATTTTCCACCTTAAAATAGTACAATGTTTGCTTATCAAAATTGGGCAGGTACGGTTTTTTATAAAACCTCTGACTTTTTGAAAATTGTAATCATTGTTCATGATATTGAAAATCACCGTTGACACATGTTTTCAAATAATAAGATGATTGCAAATTTACTTGGTAATATTTGGAACATTTGTGAAAATACTGTTGCAAAGAAACAATACCACCTTCACAAATGGATTAGGCAGAGGTTACAACTAGTAGTTTTGAAATAACCATAAATTTACCCACTCATAGCTTTGAAAATTGTATAATTTGAATGTTGAAAGAAGAAAAATCGAAATTATTTCATATTATGGGTTGCTACCAGTAAATGTTTGAATTATTATTACAAAATTTGGAAAATTACACTTATTTATAAACAAATTTATAATGCAACAATTTCTAACACAATTTAATTAAATTTTACTACAAACTTAATATAATCCAAAAATACGTAAACATAGAAATTTGAGTTTTTCTGCAAAAGAATTCAATTCATTATTTAATACCCAAAAACTGTCTTTTAGGATTACCAAGCAACAGGAAATTTTCAACTTCAGCAAAAATATTTCTGCCAACTTGAAGATAGTTTGACATCTTATTTCAATGCCACACTTTGTATTTACAAATGTTTACAGAAATGTTATTTTAAACAAATTTATTAATTTGACCTTCAAATTTTGTCTCTGGAAAAACTCAATGCTCTTGAGCTCTTGAGAATGTAAAAATATATTATCGAACCTATTTTATTTCACAAAAGTTGAGTCAAAACACTCCTTATGCCTTCAAATTATTGGTCCTAAGAAATGATTTGCAAAAATCTTATTGCTAACTATGTTATGGAGTAGATCTTCCAGAAACATTGTAGATTTTGCTTCACAATGTTGAGTTAAAGGCTTTGGTGAAGTTCATCTCACCACAATTTGAATTACAAAGCATCTCACCACAATTTGAAGATATTAATATTTTTATGCAATCAGTAAGATTATTTGACAATTATAGTACCACTGATATACAGTTAATTATCTCTGTTGCTAAGAAGTACTGAAAAATATCCCATAAACTCAATAGCTCATGCAAGAATAATTTTAAGATAATGCATGTATCAACTGCAGGTTTGAAAAAATCACATTTTCAATATTTGGTGAAATAAATTGGCCCTAAAAACATTGCAAATGAAACATTCAAATCATTTATTTCAATTTTTAACATATATATTCTCTTACCTTATGTCCAGCACCACCCACATACATCACTTTTGCTGGCTGCAGTGCTTCTACTGCATCATGTACTTCAGGAGTTCTGTGAGAACGTGTTGTAACAATAATCCGTTGTCCACTGGGAGCCATTTGGGCTTCAAATCCTCCAACACCAATTCCTCGAATACCCCACAAAGTTCGACCTTGGCAATTAGCTCCTTTTCCATTTTTATAGTAAGGCTGGTGTATAATACCAGCCACAGAGCGGTCCCCAACAGCTATTCCAATTAAGACAGTAACATGGTCCACTAATCCTAAAACAGAGAGATACTTCACTGCAATTCTTTTTAAAAGTATTTATTAATTTTTTTATAAATTTAATAATTTGATTGAAACTATTACAAAGAAAGAAATTTCTCCAAATCTGTGAAATAATATAATTTATAACCAATTGTGTGAAAATGTATCGTCCAAATGCAGATACATACCTTGAGTGAATTCTGATGTACCATCTAAAGGGTCAACCCATACAACAACCTAAACAAAGACAATAATCAGGGATAGTTAGGGGTAAAATATATTCTTAATTTTTTATCCTGTTCATATTCATTTTTCGAAAAGAGAGACTTCATTTAAATAGCAAAACAACACTTGTTTTGAAATGCAAACGCACCTCAATCATACCTCTTCATCTCTAATATTCTGCAGTTCTTCTGGACAATCCAAAGAAAGTATATCTGGTTCGCTTTCTGTAACTATCCATTCATGTGGAACATCACAAGAAGACTGTTCTTCTTCTCCAATAATAGTTATCGAAGGAAATTGTCGCTCCAAAGACTTAATAATACATTGTTGTGCTGAGCGATCTGCCTCAGTTTGATAGTCATTTTTACCCTTATGAAAAAAAAAAAGTTTAGAAAGAATACATGTGTAAATACTATTACAAAGCATAATAGAAAATGTTACAATACCTTTTCAACAATTCTTAAATCACCTTGTGCCATAACATTGCGGATTATGTCTCCTGCACGCCTTGCAGTCCTTACAGATGATGCAACCAAACGAATAATAAGAGGAGCACTGTGAGCCATGATGTAATTATGCCTGATATGAAATAACATAATTTTCTATAAAAAAATCTTGTCTGATGAACATTGTTTAACTATATGAATTTTCAAACTCATTGGGATTAAATTTCAAAACTCCAATTACTTTTAAATATTTCTTAATTTTTCTCAGCAATGTCCTTACCTTTTAAAAACTTTTCACTACCACAATAAATTTTTAGTATTACTAATCAAGCAGTTCAGCGTTTCTATTTTTGCCAGAATTCAGTTTGGTCGACCCTAACAACCAGATTCGCCCTTCTCGTTAAGTTACTACTTTCCACACATTTCTCTTTCTCCATTCCCCGGTCGGTCCATCCGGAGTTCTCCCACGTTACACAATTCTCTGATTTCGTTTCTTCTTGCTTTCGTAGTCAGCTGTTCCCTTCCCATCTGTCAATGCAGTCATTCATTTGTTTCTCCATCCCACTCTTTGCATCCTATATTCCTGATTGGTTGCTGGGTCAAGATTCGATACCTCTTTGATTTACCCTGGTTATATCGATAGTTCTTGAAATTGGAAGTGTTGAAGAGAATTTCGTTGCAGGCTGGTGGGTTGGTTAGATTACTAATCACACTTACATATTGCGTTTGTATTATAATTGTTCGATTTATTCAATATCTATATTGTGCGAGGGCAACCAAATAAAAATGAACCAGTATTGGTAACGAACGTATTTGTCATTATTAGCAAAGTGTGACAAGTGTATAGCCTCGACTGTTACAGTGTGGTAAAGTCGGTGTCCACTGTGAATGGCAATATATGGTTATTACTGGTGGCCTGTGCAGGTCACTCCTTTCAATTAACTGTGCGTGAGTTAAAATGTAATCTACTGTATGTTTGGAGTCGTCAACAAATGGTTTCGTGACCCAAACCCAATAAAGTGTTTAATTTTCTTAGAAGGTTGCTAAACCCGGTTGTCTAAATTACACTTCAATGAGGAGAAAATAAAATAAATGTTGACAAGGAAACAACTTGTTCTGAAGAGAAGAGAGCATGCATTTTTACATTGGTAAAGTTGTTTGAATTTTAAGAAGCATTTTATAACTGAACGTGAAATTGACACATCTGTCTAATTTGAATAATGGCTGGAGTAGTACCTGTACCTATAAGGACTGGTCGAAAGCAATGGACTTTACATGGTAGGTTTAAATTTTTATGTGAATACTTTAGTTATGTTGTTGACTTAACTTCAGTTATTGAATTGACTTTCCCATTATGTTGCATAGAAAATAATAATAATATCGTCCATAATCTTTGTACGACTTTCATGTTAATAGTTACAGCAACATTCCTAAATAGAGTGATTAAAATAAATATTTTTAAATCTTATGTGTGCAGTGTAGATTGTTGAAATTTCTCAGCAAATATTGTTATTTTAAAATGAAGTTGAAGTTTTCGAATGTCAATGTGTTCTGTTCTGCAGTACAACATTGTTGGATGCACTAGTTGATAATTGTTTATGGGTTAATTAATGAAACTAATTATTCAATGTTAAATATTATTTTTCAATATGGACTGTGGAGAAACGGAGCTCAGTTTTGCACCAGAACAGTTTACCAAAAAAATTCTGTTGTGACTTTTATTTGGACGAAATATGTGTGAATATTTTTCAAGTTTATTTCTAGTAGTATATTATAAAAGTTCCTAAAGCTTCTGCCATTATGAATATTTAGTCACATATTGCACAAAATGATAAGATTGACATTCAGCCTTTTGAATTTAATTTGTTAATTACAGTTATGATTGAATAATAATAATAATAATAATAATAATAATAATAATAATAATAATAATAATAATAATAATAATATGAAAAAATATGAATGCTAATGTCATTAAAACATTAATTTCCATCCACAAATATTTGTTGATGTTCTGAGTACGAAAAATATGTTACATTTTTCTGTAATTTATGAGACTTATTAATTATATTTTCTTTTTTTTTTTGCATGGAGATGGTCCTAGAGGTTCCCTACGTCGGTTGCGAAGTCAACTGGCAGAAGATGGGTGTCCTGAGTCACAAGTTGTTTACGCCAAACAGTTATTGGAAGAAAAGTGTGGTAAGTGTCAGTCCATGTAGTGATTGTATGTTTACTTGTTATTATGAAATGATCTTACGCCATTCAAACTGAAATACTCAGGTATTTGTTGTTCAGCATTAATTGCAGTGATGGAAAGGGAAAAACTAGTAAATAATTTATAGTTGCTGTGTAATCATCTACTTGCTATGTTAAAGTAATTATCTTTTTATGATATGGGTTTGCAAATCAAAAATTAAGAAAGAGCTTCATAGTTTCAGAGCTTTTATTAGGGTAATTGCACCACATATACATGATGAAACACACCTGTCTTACTCGAGACTCCAAACTACAGCCAGCCCACTGATTTGAGATCAGTGTATTTCGACATCACTGACAGGCCTTCTGCTATCAGCAAATTAGGCAAATATTGTTATTTCTTTGAAAGGCGCTTACATATTCCTGAAAAGCACATCTCACTCGAGAAAAGCATACATTAGTTATGTGGTGGTTCACTTATTAAATAAAAATCCTCTTTCAAATACATTTGATATCCTTTGCTTCATACTACTGTTTTTAAACTAGGTGTAAAGATTATAATTCTATCTTTACACTTATTCTATTTTTGTCTTGAAATTGTTTCAAAATTATATGTTAATGTAATAATTGTAATTTTGTATTCTTACTGGATAGAGTAGAGCATGCATCATGCACAGTTATGATTAACAATGTGAGAGGCTAGTCAAAAAAGATTATATTTTTGGAAAAACAAAAGAATAGAGAAAAATGAAATTTATGGCATCTAATAGAGTACATTTAGCGGTCCTTATCAAAAAGTTTAAAGGCAAAATTGGGGGCCGTTTTTGAGAAAATCTTGTTTTTGTAATTCCTCATATTGCAGGTAATATTTCGTGAAAACTACTAGAAGCTCAAAAAATGTACGTGATGTAAATAAAAGCACTACTTGTGGAGAACAAATTTCATTAGCAGGAAATACCTTTATGTTCAATTTTATAGTTGTAGGAAGACTCCGCAAAGATTCAAACTTTTGCCATTTTGGAAAATTCAGAGTTAAGTTAAAATCGGACCTGTGCCACAATTATAAGTGTTTTTCACTTTATTTTTACTAAAAATTGAAAGAAAACATTTGGAACTATTTTTGAGAAAATTTTGAAAATATTATGTACAAAATCTCATTGTATGTCAGATGCGTAAGTAAATTGGGTCCTACTTACCTTGCATCTTTTTGGCCGAAAACAAAGTTCTGCGGTTTTTAGAGAGTGTATCTTGTTTAATAACAGAGCGTCGGTTGGCAGCGTGTGAGGGCGGGAAGAGGGGTGTGGTGAGGGCGAAGGGTCGTGAGACGCGGGGATGCTGGTGGAGGCGTGAGGAGGGGTCGGGCGGGCGAAGCCGAATGGAGTTAATGGTGTACACTTTGTGCTAATCCCTGAACTCTCGTTACCTCTACTATAATTAGCACGAAGTGTTCACCCTCCACTCCATTCGCCTTCGCCCTTGAGTTAAATAGCAGTCGAAGTAGAGGAAGGCGAGCTAGACAAGTACGCCGTGAACCTCTACAGCACTGTCTTCGATTTTGAAGCTATGTTAGAGCGGACGGAAGTCGAAGATGAGTTCTTTACAAAGCTTGAATATGATACTAAAGTATAAGAATATATTTTTGAATAGGCCAGGGTTGACCGATGGATATAGAGTTGACAGCCGAAACGAAAAAGATACAGAGTGCACTTCACCGTATGTCGTCCCGCCAATTGAAAATCCTTCAGGAAGCAATTTGCGAAAATACTTAGAGATAAGCGATTCGGAGTACGCGTCGCCGATTATTGTAGTTGAGGCACCGAGACGAAAACCGCGTCCGTGGGTAGATTTCAAAAAATTGGACCAACTTATTAAATCGGAGTATTTTCCACTAACGAATATGGAGGAAGGAATCGAATCTGTGGCGGCAGCGAAAAATAATTACCACTTTAGATTTGGCGAAATTCGATTAACTACCAAATACCGCTGACCCCAAAGGCACAAAGGGTATGCGGCGTTTCTCAGCAACTTCGGCACGTACAGGGCTGTAAGATTGCCCTTCGAGCTGAAAAATGCAACGTATCAGCATTATTAGCGGGATGCGCGGAATTCGCCGTCCCTTCTTTGGACGAAATTGCGATAAACAGCAACAGTGGTAAGAACACCTCTGGCATCTAGAAAAGATATTTCAGATCTTAGAAGAAGCGAAGTTCCACGTGCAGCCGAGCAAGTGCAAATTCGCGCGTAAAAATGTCCAGTATTTAGGATACATGGTCGGAAATGGAATAATGCGTCCGATGGAGGCGAAAGTAAAAATTATTCATGAACATCCAGTACCACAGGAGAAGAAGCAAGTGCGTGATTTGTAGGTTTGACAGGGTGCTACGGCCGTTTTGACCCAAATTATGAGGGAATATCAGCCCTATTAACTGATTTATTGAGAGGCCGAGAACGGCAGGGCAAAGTGGCGTGGTCACCGGAGTGCAAAGAGGCGTTTGAGAAATTAAGAAATGCTGTTACGAACCCGTTCTCCACGCGCCCAACTTCAACAAAAATTTTATTGTGCAGCGTGATGCATCTAAGAGGGGAGTTGACATTCTTGCGCAATGCAATGGCACGGGGAAGGAGAAACCCGTTTTATATCTTATATATGTATCAAATTTATATTTTTTAAAGTGTGTTGTTTTGTGAATTTGTGTATTTTATCTATGTGCAATTTCTGGGTCAAAGTGAAGCTGAAGATATTGTAGGGTTAGGGTATATCGGGAAAATAGTTTGTCAGTAGATGCATTTGATTGAAAGTATAATGTATTTAAGAGAATAAGAGAATATTATATTTTTGATGTTTTTTTGTATTCATGATCTGTATATAACTATATAGTAGGGCAAGATTTTGAATGAATTTATGTACGTCAGGTAGGTTAGGTAAATTGAGTAAATGTTTTTTGTATGTAGGGTAGTTATTGAAATCAGGTAGAGTTGTCTGTATATAAATTGAGTGTGAGCCCAATGGCCAGGTAAATTCTATACTCCTATCTAAGTTCACGAATATGTTTGCGTGTCCATTTTTTTTATTATGAAGGTCTCTTGCATAAAATATGCAAAATGGGATGAAGAGAAGTATGTAACGTATTGCAAAGCGAAACCTCGTGGCAGGAAGTCTGGCGCCGTGCAGGCCCGCGAGTAAGGATTAGACAGGTCCAGACACCAGGGGGTTGAGTCGAGAGAGGTTGAATGGAGAGGGAGCCGGGGTGGAGGTGCCCCGAGGTAATTTGTGAACTTCCAAGAATCCATGGGGAGGAGTGCCCTAAACTGCGAGGCAGCGTGACGGTCACGTGGCGGGAGTCGTCGCGCGAACACACGATGACGTCGCATGTCAAGTGGGGGGGGGGGAATATAAAAGCCAGACGTGGCGCGGGGATAGGTTTTGCGCTCTGTGAAGGTGAATCGTGTGTTGGGAACATTGTTGTTCTGGAACATTGTTCCATGTGTGACTGCGGTCACGAAGTATTGTGCTTTGTGCGTGTTCTCGTAAAATAGCGAGAACCACGACTCAGGCCGATCTTCAATCGCATAGGGCCGGTTTCACCAACTAGGATCAAATTCGTAGTTGATCCGAGTTTCGTGATCCTGATCCGTGGAGTCAAGGCCGACTTGAGCTCTGTGCGTTTCACCAACGTTTTGAGACTTCGAAGTTAATCCGGATCCCATGATTCGTGAGCAGTCGTGAAAATGCGCGGTTGGCAACAATTTTGCAATGCATTGTAGGTATTCTCGCGGTCAGCTGTAGGAAACTAGTCGTTTTGATTTCATTTCGTTCCGTCTGTGTGGTGTTCTGTTGCGTGTAGTAATGTCCTTGTTCGGTGATGGATTCACCTGACGTTGGAAAGAAGGCATAGACTACGCCCAATTTCTCTCCAGTTGAATGAGAATTACTCGAAAGCTTAATGAGCAAATACAAAGAAAGTTTTAATGCTCGTTCTGACATTTCAAAATAATTCGCTTATTTTTGGATGATTAGTCTGTGGTGTCCCGCCCACAAAGTTACATCTTCAATTGATGTCATTAATAATATGAATTATTTATATTATAATTAGTATGAATAATAATTATATAAATTAATAATAATAATAAAATGTTAATAATATATAATAGATATAGTCTAACATTCGAAAACTCTGTCTTTTTTCGACTACTACATTAACTAAAAGAACATTTAAATGGAAAGTATTCAACACTAAAAAAGTATTCAATAAAAGTATCCAGCCCATTGCATATCAGATATAGTCAAGAAATGCTTTTTTACTAATGTTTAGCCTTATAATTAAATATCTAATGTTTGAAGCCAAAATATATTTAAATTTTACTTCCCAATACCGAGAATTCTAACCTACAATTGTGTTAAACCTACTTCTATTTGCAATACTATCTTTAAAAACACATTTGCTCAACAAGTATTACGCGCAATCCTACTTCTTAGCGAATACTTCCATACCGAATCTAAGTCCAACTACAGGTATGTACTTAAAAAATACGGAAAACTGGAATAGCTTGACAAACAAGACGAGAAATAACTCCTGATCTGGCTGTGATCCACCGCTCGGCGACGGATCAATTGCGAGTCAAATTTGATCCGAGTCAGACACGTTGATTCGTGTCAAGTGCTTGGAGAACCGTAAAACGGGATCAAACTGAAGTTGATCCGGATCAACTGGGGATCATCATCTTGATTCCGGTTGGTGAAACCGGCTCCTGCGATCAGGGGAGGGGTCTATGGGCCGGTTTGTTCCCAACCGCGCATTTTCACGACTGCTCACGAATCATGGGATCCGGATAAACTTCGAAGTCTCAAAACGTTGGTGAAACGCACAGGGATCAAGTCGGCCTTGACTCCGCGGATCAGGATCACGAAACTCGGATCAATTACGAATTTGATCCTGGTTGGTGAAACCTTCCCTATCAGCTGTAAATAACTGCAAACTAGTAACTTCTAAATACTTATTCTTGTAAATATCCGACTTCGTGCCTGTGTTTGCTGCTGTGTTCCCACGACGTCACAATAGGAAGAACACTTTCAAGGAAGGACTGAACCTGCAAAAAGAGGAATATTGGTCACCTTATTTATAAACTAGTTCCTAGCAGAAAAAAAACCTTCGACAGAAAAACTCTTATTGCCAGGCCCTTGTGGACAAACACAGTTGTTAAATTTAGGGGGGAAATCCTCTAACACGTGTTATTGCTATAATATGTTTTGTGAGTCCTTGATGCCGAAAAAGTCGATCGACGGCAAAACGTCCGTCCGTCTGTCCGTGAACAACGCTGGCGGCTAAACCGTTCAGCCTATTTTCTCCAAAATTGATATTCTCCAATCGTTCTGGCTGATATCGCGTTCTCTTGAATTTGAAACTGATCATTTAAATGGAGGGGGGTACTTAACATGATGCCTCAGCAACATTTTCAAAATTTCCACAAAAAAAGACCCAACGTTTTTGACTAAATTTTATTTTGAAATAGTTTTAAGCAATAGATCTTTTAAATTAAAATATTTGTTTAGCATTGAATTCATTATATAAGGTATACAGTGTATTCACGAATATATCCGATGAGTATTTGAGCCTTACAATATATGCGAAAGCTGTGTGCGAGAAAGTAAAGTAATTAAAAGTTAAGAAAGTTAGGAAATAATACTCTAGTGATTGGCTAAGACATGGAAATAAATCGAAAATTATATAATAGTAATTACTGACCCTTTAGAGCCGGAATTCATTATTATTGCAAAATTGTTTCGTTTCGAGTTTAATTATTTCACATAGTGGCTTAGATGATGGAATTCATTCTTATTTGTTATTTTCTGTCTTCATACACTAGTTATAGCCTGGTACATAAATGTATCACTAAGCTCATACTCTGCCTTATTGTAAAACTCTCAAAATAATGTTCTAATATAACACGAATGAGTAAATATTGTATATTTTCTCACGCCTCTCGCACTACCTCATCCACCCTCCTCTGTAGTCTCGTCACCACCTCTCCACCCTCGATGTAACGCTCGCACCGCCTCTTATCTCGTACTCTGACTCCACTCTCTCTAAGCTATCACTACCTCGCTTCTAACCCGCCCTTGCCCCCACCCGTGCGCCGGCCCCCACCCCCGTCTCCAACCTCGCAACCAT